CATTGGTCCCGCCGGAATCGGAAAAAGTTCATTTTCCGGCGACTTTGACCGGCGGGCGGCGGCGGCGGCGGGGCGTGGAAGAAAAGAAAAGAAGAAATGGGGTCAAATTGAAAATTTTAAAATATATAAAATTCGAATTTGGCCCTAATGACCGGAAGTTAACCTAGAAACGGGCTAATGGCTCATTAGTGAAAGGATTGTGTAAGTTCAGGGATTTTTGTGAAAGGATTTGAAGTTCAGGTACCACTTCGAAATTCCAGCTAAAGTTCAGGTACCATTTGTGAAATTTACCCGATTTTTTGGGAAGAAGGAAGTAATACACAGAGTAATAGATTTAATACATAGTTTTTGATATTTTAAATTTATTCAATGCAAAATGCAGGTGTTAATATGGATTAAAAAAATATTTAAAAACCGAAATCATAACCCGTTGAGTCGACCCGAACCCAATGATACTGGATCATGAACATATAATTTTCAATTCGAATCTGAATTGACCCGAATTCAAAGTAACCAAACCAAAAATAAAAAATGACCAAATCCGAATCACCGACTTTGTCAGCTTGGAGTCTACTTACACCCATCGAACATATCCTTATCGGAGAACACGGTTCGAGGCAAGGAACAACTTTTTGAGTTTTCTAAAAAGAAAGAAAGGAATGGGTTCTGGCAGCGTAGTTTCAGCGCATTCATTTGGCATCGCAAAATTGAACCTTTCTCAAGATCTTGGACATCCCCAGCCTCCCACTCAAACCAAACTTGAAGATGTCTACTCAAGGCCAATCAGGTGAGAAATTTTCTTGATATCGCCCTTTCACATGATCTGTATCATTACTTTGTTTTCACAGCCTGAAAAATATATATATAAAATATTACTCAGCATATTGAATTGACTGATAAAGAAGACGATTCTTGATTTCAAAGATTCAAGCTTTCCACTTGTATAGGCGATTTTGTTTTGTAGGCAATAGAAATCATGAATCATCTTCGGTTTTGGATAGCAGATGTCAGTAGTTTGAAGTGAGATGCTTGGATTGATCCCTTTGCTTGTATAGATTAACTCCCTCAGTTTGTCCAAATTTAGTTGTCCAGTTTCACATTTTTTGTGTGTTTGGGATTAGGCGTTCACTTTTTTCATATTCAGTAAACAAATTATGGTGGGTTATGGTGGGTAATGTGAATATGAGATTCAAACTTAAATCCAATATCTATAAAACTGGGTTTGGTTTATTTATTTAATTATTTATTTTATTAAGTAGTTGGGGGATAGGATACCTCACAGACACAAGGTGCAATAGATTGTGTGCTAAGGTGAAATCACACCTCACACAATGGGGAAGACACGAACCCTCACGTAGTCAAGAGGATTCGAACTCGGGTGACAATGGTTTACCACTCACTGCCCAACTGCTAGAGATGCACCCCATGGTAGCAGGGTTAGTGTTTGGTTCGTAGTATCCGATGCTTCATTGATTAGCATGGCTATATGCAACTGTAATTTTACCAATCACTCCATTGCAATGAAGTTAAAAGATGACAATGTTTTAACTTTTCTGGTAAATAATGGTCTGGACCAAAATGACATATTATTCTTTTGCTTCTTACCTTACGGAGTAGTGAATGCGACGGTGCATCAAGTTTCTAATTCCGTTGTGTTTTTAACCTTAGTGCAGGGTGTAATTATTAATTAACACTCTA